CCCGCGCTAGCCTAAGGGCCACCTTAGCAAAGCGCATCCCAGGCTGCATAGCCGCACTACCCTACCCAACCATACCACACATAAACATGACACTACCCCCGGGGTTTACACAGACGAGCCGGCGAAGCAAGAAGAGCGCCAGAAGAAAGGGCCCTAGCCGGCGGGGCCCAGCCAGGACAAAAGGAGGTCCCACAAAGCGCCTACACCGGCCGCATTTGCGGTCGGGGTAGACGACGGATGGGGCCCACTTACGAAGGCTGTCCAGGCCTACACGAGATGAGGCAGGATAAAGAGGGATAATCCCTCTCGATCCCAAATCATTGAGGCCAATTTCTAGCCATGGATTAATGGCGCGGTAGCCTTAATAAAGGCAGGTAGATCTTGCTCGTTGCAATGCACTTCACTTCACAATAAACACGTCCGCTCAGTTCGGCCGCTCACTCGAGAATGATTACGTCACGCAGATGTTGACGTTAGGTTCGCAGGTGTGTTTTTTGAGGTTATTCATATTTTTGTTTATCAATTTCGTTTTTATTGAACTTTAAATATGTCTTGTGCTTTGTGCTGTGAAAAGAAGCGCAAATTGCAGAAGATTTCCGATACAAAACATCTGTTTTCATGTGTAAGTACAGAACATTTCTAAATACTTAGGTAGCTGTACACAAAAATAAGATATTTCCACTTTTTATTCTAAATTTTTTATTGTAAACATGTATTATTTGATTTCTAGCTTTCCTAGAAAACTAGAAATGAAACTTTACAGAAGGAGTGGCTAAAGGTTCTTTCTATCGAAAAAAAAAATTGTGTATGGACAAAAAATAACGTAATTTGCTCTGAACACTTTAAAGCAGATGATTTTGTTCCCTTATGTGGAAGAAGAACAGTACGACCCAACTCTGTACCTTCCATAAAATTATTTTGTTGTGTATCTTCTATTTTGAGCGAGAGTACTTTATCGAATTCAATTAATACAGGAGCTTTGACCAGCAAATCGATGTTACAATCAAGTGGATCATCTTTGACCTATAATGCATAGAAAATATAGTACTAACGTAGAATGAAATCTAACACGGGCAAATCAAGTCCGTTTACACCCACAAAAAAAGCATTTCCCTATTCCCTACCAAGTGCAAAAGACAGAGATAAAATATAGATCGACGTTCAGTGTAACTCAGTCTATACACGATTATAGATTCTACCGATGTGCATGGCGAGCGGCACAAAGATAAATAATATTGAACCGTATAGAAATCATTTTATATTTTATACGCATTATGGTAATAGTGTTTTTATATTATGTATTAGTCACTCTTTATAATTTCGGCCGCCGAGTATAG